CCAACAACCTCATCTTCTTTGCCTTTGGCAGTTCCACCAGCTCTTCGAAGCCTAAAGTACCAGACGGCCATTCTGTACATAGCCTTAAGCAGTTTCTTAATGATAGACTGACCTTGTCTCCTACACAATCGATTGTGTTGGTCAGTGTTCAGGACTTCCATTGTATCTTCAATATGCCCAGTGGACAAACCAGATCTCTAGGGACACAACTGTAGGCTTATTCAATGACTTTCTATCACTTCCTCATTTTACATTTATTGTCTGGCTTGTACATTACTTTGAGCAACAGGAGTTAGGTTCAAATGCTTTGAATTTGCAAGACTATATACCATAGAGCTGAAACACACAGACTCATGGGCTTCACTACCAAGGTTCAAATTCTACCTCTTGCAAACTGTGTGAAACTGGGAAATTTATAGGGTCTCTCTACCTCCTGGTAAGAAGGGATAATAATACTGCTACCTCATAATGTTGTCATAAGGATAAAAAGAGGGTACCTGTCAAAATATTTGAATGGACACTTTACCATAGACGATATAGAGTTGGCAAATAAAGATATGAAAAGATGTTCATCATTAGTTATTAGGAAAATGCAAATGAAAACCACAAAGAGCTATCGCTATGTGCCTAATATAATTTTAAAAGTTAAACATACACTTATTTCACCCCTAGGTATTTACCCAAGAGACAAATACTTGTCTATGAATATCCATGGCAGTTTTATGTGCAATAGCCAAACTGGAAACAATCCAAATAGCCATCAATGGATTATTACTCAGCAATAAAATAGGTGAACCACTGATGCACATAACAATGAATAAATCTAAAAATAATTGCTTGGGAACAAGGGGAGGGAGGTATGACAGGAAAAGTTGCAGAGGGGCATGAGCAAACTTTGGGGTGATGGTTATGTTCACTATCTTGATAGTGGTGATGGCTTCACATGTATGTACCTACGTCACAACTTGTTGAATGGCACACTTTAGATAGATGTGGTTTATTATATGCCAATTATACCTGAATAATGATTTTTAAGGTAAGCATGTTCCATAAGTATTATCTATTATAAACATTAATTTTACACTAAAAAATGTTTAGATAAAATTTTTAAAAGAGCCCTGGCCGGTTTGGCTCAGTGGTTAGAGTGTCGACCTGCGGTACTGAGAGACCCGGGTTCGGTTCCCGCTAAGGGCGCGTACCTTGGTTGCAGTTTGTCCCCAGCCCTGGTCGGTTGTGCGGGTGGCAGCCACTCGATGTGTTCCTTTCACATCGATGTTTCTCTCTCTCTCTGTTCCTCTGTTCCTCTCTCTCCCTCCCACTCTACCTGAACAAAAAATGGAAAAATGTCCTCGGGTGAGGATAAAAAAAAAAAAAAAAATTTAAATTTTTAAAAGAGAATCTCTTAAAAAGTAATATTTAGTGATTGAGTCGATCACCATCATACCATAACCTAGCTGCATTTTCATTTTCATTTTCATTTTCAAGGGATGCTCATGAATAAACTTGAATTAAGGAAAATAGTCCAGGCTTTGAGATCAGAAGACACGAGTTCAGGTGCCCACTCTATCATCTGATATTTGACTTTGATTTTGAAAACTATAAAGCAACATGAGTATATCAGTCATTATGACAAGGGAGGAGAGGCCATAAGCATTTTTTGAAGACTTGGTAACAGAGACCTACCAAGATAAGATTAAAATAAACCTTGACCAAAAAAAAAAGCCAAACAACAGCAAAAAAAAAAAAAAAAAAAAAAAAAAAAAACACAAGAGCAAAGTATAGACGCTGCATCTTCTCAAATCCCTTACTCTGATATTCCTACATCAAAATTGCCTGGGACACTTAAAAATACAGATTTCTGGGTCCCATCTTATACTTTCTGAGTTCAAATTGCTGGTGGTAGGGAACAGGAATCTGAGTTTAAAGAAAGCTGCCTGATTGATTCTGATGCAGCCAGTAGCATCAGTAAGTGGATAGTCTTTTGGAAACAATCACCTTGATCTTAAAACATCTCAGTGAGAAATATGAACTACCTTAGGCTCTACTGCTCAGATTAATCCTGGCTCCAGTCTCAATGCATCTCCCATAATGGCTAGGAATGCAGAAAGGTTTGAAACATCTTTCAAATGAGCATTTAGTATTGAGAGCATGTCTTCTAGCATTATTTTCCTGAGCACCTACTTGCCATTAGGATTTTTACTGGCCCTGAGATCATCTTTGGAAATTACCTTTGTAAATGCAAATGTGTACTGCTTAATTTCTTTCCAATCAGTCACTTTCCTCAAAAACAACATGTCATTCAGTGTTGCATGCTGGCAGCTTGCCTTGGATAGCTTGTCCAAGCTGTGTGGCTGGATGCCAACATGATCTTTATACCTATGTGGGATTATCATTTGGAAATCAAGAAGTGAGAAGAAAAGCAGAAGGATGGGTTCAAATTAGCTATTTGTGCCATTTGGAGTGATTAGAGCAGAGGAGAAAAGACTAGAATTGGACAGACTCTAAACCTGCCTTTGACTCTATTCTTCCATCCACAAGGAAAAAGGCTGCCTTTTCTATGTCTTCAGGATGTAAAACCCACCTGTAAGTTACTTCTTGAGAGTCATTTTGAAATTCTCTATCAAAAGGTACCATATGAATATAATTAAATCTCTTATTGTATGGCTCATTATTCTGCAGATTTGGACCAGATATTGCAAAGATGCCTCTAGGAACCAGGCAAGGAAATTCATTGAGAGAAGAGCTTGGAAACTAGAGAATGAGTGCCCCTTCTGAATGGGGCAGTTACCAATTGCTGTCATGTGCAAATGTGGCCCTGGGTTGCCAGATATTCTGATTTGGGGGTGGGGGGCAATAGAAATAGCCCTTTTTTATGTTGGCAAATTAAGGAACAAGTACTATTAAGTGGGGCAAACAAAATGCCTCCAAGTCAGCTTGAACTTGCAGGCTACCAGTTTGTAACCTATGATTTATGCTATTATTCAAAACCATGATCTCTTAACAACTGAAAAAGTGCATGTCCATACAGTAAATCCTTGTACCTTTACAATCAGCCAATGACATATTCAGTCTTGACCCTGAGAATGAACATTCTATATAAGAATGTAAAAGTCAGTTTAAATAGAAGCTGAGTCTTCAGGGATAGCTGGGATAGTCAGATAACCATTGGTCTGAAAAATGGCTTTTGTAAAATGTTAATCAGCAGTAGGTTGGGATGTGGCTTTCAATCTGTTGACAGGGACATAGCCAGGACTATAGTCTCATTTTCCTTGCCACCTGAAGTGTCCATCCCACTAGGAATAGCAGGAGGTGTTTCTTACAGGACAGCTTTCACATGGGGCCATGGGCAGGATCTGGGCCAGGGACAAATCTCTGAACTCAAGAATGTCAAATAGAAACAAACTCACAGATAGAGAAGAGACTGCCAGCTGTCAGAGGGGAGGAGAATTGGGAGAAAAAGGTGAAGGGATTAAGGGGGGGGGAAGCAACTGCTCATAGACACAGACACAGTAGGGGGATTACCAGAGGGAAAGGGGCTGGGGGCAGGTAGAAGAGAAGATGGGGTGGGGGATAAATGGTGATGGGAAGAGACTTAACTTTGGATCATGAACACACATTACAATATACAGATGATGGATTATAAAACTGTACATTTGAGACCTATATAATTTTATTAACCAAGATCACCCCAATAAATACAATAAAAATAAAAGTAAATCTAATATGGAGTAAAAAATAGACATGCAAAATATGGTAAAAGGAACGTAATAAAAAGGAGAAACTAAAAACAAAGAATGTCAGAGGAGGCTGCAGCGGGTATGGAATTTTCTGTGCTGGAGAATGTGTACATGCACAATATGGTCAAAGACTGTTTCCCCTTCATTTTCTTGGGAGACTATTTCCCTGTACTCCAGTGGAAGTAGAGGAATTGGTTTTCCTGCTTTGTGCTAGTGAATGGCATTTATGAAGTATTCGATAAGCTGTGTTTCCATTTGAAAGCCAACAGTACATGTAGACTCCAGTTGATTTTTAAAATATGAGTGATGAATGTTTCCACTTAAGAGATACTGCAAGATCTTGGGTTATCTGTAACTTGGTCCTTTAAGACTTCTCAGAATGTAAATGGTGTGGTGTAATTTTACATGTGATAGGCATAGGAGAATAAGAGATAAGAATCTTAGTAGTAAGGGTACCAACAGAAAACAGATGGCATACTCAGAAAGTTCCACCGAAAGGGTGCAACTCCTGGCAGAGGAATTCTTTTCAAGGGCATGGGCAGGGATAAAGAAGCAACAAAGGATGATGAGGCACCTAAAACATCAGGAATAGCAACAACGGGGTCATCGCCACTATCTGTCTGAAGAGAGGGAGATGGGGGCTGTGCTACCAGATCCCAGCAAAAGTTCGCTTTGTGGAAGGGAGTCTATCAGCAGACTCTGTGTGTACAGAGCCAAAGGTCCACTGCCTGCACCCCTCTGTCTTCCTACTCTCTGATCTGCCAAGTCCCTCCCTTGGCTGACTCCAATCAGAACCTAGATGGCGAGGGAGCCCAGGAAATCCAATCCAAAGAGGTCAGGCTCCAGGGGCACAGAGTAAGTGGAGAGTGGCAGGTACGGATCTGGGAGAGAAGGCATCAGACATCACTAATCTATTGCCGATTTCTTTCCTCCTGAGACCAGATGTGCCCTCAGACTCTTTCTCATCCTAAGGCTCCAGGTGATCACTAATAACTGACTCATCTTGCTGCCCTATTACCTAACAACACTAAGTCTTTAAATACAAAGCTTCGGATTATTCTGTCTAGTAAATTCTCGCTCCTTGAAACATGGCTCATTCTCTGAGGGTGCTTCCTTGAAGACTTTCTGACTGCTTGCCCTGGTGACCTAATAGAGGGCATTTATGGTTTGCAAGAAGGTGAAGCACCTAAAATTGATTTGCCTAAAGGTTAATAATAAAAAGCCCTAATCCTTGGTGGATTTTCTCTTTCTCTCTTCTTGCAGGTTGACAGAACAGAGGTGATTCGCACCTGCATAAACCCAGTGTATTCAAAACTGTTCACTGTGGACTTTTACTTTGAAGAGGTGCAGCGCCTGCGGTTTGAGGTCCATGACATCAGCAGCAACCACAATGGGCTGAAGGAGGCTGACTTCCTGGGTGGCATGGAGTGCACCCTTGGCCAGGTGGGTCCACAGATGTCCCTTCCTCCCTCTTGCCTTCTTAGGACCTTTCTTCCTGTTTTTTCTTTCCTTTCATTCAGTCCATGCTTTCTTTCTCTTGGTTTTACTTCCTTTTACATGTAGCACTTTATAACTTCCCATGCATGGTCATAACCCTTATATTTACATAGAGATGCTGCTGCAAATATGTGAAGAGTTACTTATTTTGAAAAATTAATCTTTTTCCCCCAAATTCCTTCATTTATTTAACAACTGTTTATTGAGCACCTACTCTGCCCCTGTTATGTCTGTTATAGTGGTATCCTGATGCATTATAAATCTCCATCTCCCAACTCAGCTGTGAGAACCCATACAGGGAGTATTGTGCATTTACATGTATTCCAAGCTTCTTGTACACAAAATAGCCCAGGAGAGGGGCTAAATAATATGTATTCACTGAATGGATAAATGCTGTTACTTAATCTTCACAACACCGATGTGAAGTAACATCATCAATGTATACATTTGTCAGCAAGAAAACCAAGACCCGGAGAGGTTAAGCTTAAAGCATCACACTAAAAACTGCCAGAGTTAGAACTTGAACCACGTCAGCCTCCTTCCAAACCCCATCATTTTGCTTCTATAACATCTTTCCTTTTTCCTTCCCTTCTTGCTGTTCCCAGAACTTTAGTAGGTGCTCAGGGGACATCTAAATGGAGAAATAGTCCTTGTGCCCAAGAAGCAGACACTCGGATTGTAGAAGGCATACTCTATGCATCTCAGATAGAGCAATCGATGATGCTCCTTAAGCCCCAGTGAGACTAAACAGCCTGGGCTCCATGCAGTGCTGTGGACCCTCAGGGAAGGGAGAGCTTTCTGCTGGCTGGAGTCAAAGAAGTCATTGAGGGTCCAGGGATTGGAGAAGGAGGGAGGCCTTTCTAGTAAGAAAGCAGGGTGAACGAGACAGAGAGGTCAGGACAACCGTGGCAGGGTGAGGGGAGAGGACACCAGTTTCACTGAATCAAGTTTCACTGCTGATTTACTGTGAAACCAGTGAAGCTTAAACTTCAGAGCCCCTTCTCTTGTGGACTTCTTCCAAGGCTCTGTGTTTTTATTCGTAGTTTGTTACTTTTTTCTCAAAGAAGGATCCCAGATTCTATGAGCCTCTAACTTCCCCAAACCAGCGTCTGTCCCTTGCACAGGTTAGAGTCTGCCCCATAGAGACACGGCACATATGCATGTTGGTTGGTTGGTTTTACCCTACCTAGTGCCACTTATCACTAAAAATAAATTCCCCTCATATGAACACCAAGTGACAAAATAGACAATGTCCTTGGTTACCCTTTTCCAGCAAATATAGTGATGACTTTCATAGGATTCTTCCTGTTCCTTTCATGAAAGGCAGAAGCCCAATGGGGAAGTACAGCTGAAGGGAGGCAGACAGAGAACCTGGCATGTACTTCATAAATATAATCTCTCTCATGACTTTTGGAAATAATGGATGGCAGATAGTTCTAGGGTCTTGCCAGGTGCAGCACCTAATAAGTAGGCATTAAATGAATGTGTGAGTAAATTAATGAATTTAAAGTAGACTTCTGTAGTGTATAAATAAACTAAAAAGGTGATTAAAATGGCATCTTTTAGAGACATAAATGATTCCAAGATGCCTTGGAATAGACGATGGGCATCCCTTATATATAAAAGTCAAATTCTGTCTCAAGAAATAGATGTAGATCCATGTAGGAGTCTTGTGAATAAAAGATTTGGCCCAGCCAGTGTGGCTCAGTGGTTGAGTGTCAACCCAGGCACCAAGAAGTCACCAGTTTGATTCCCAGTCAGGACACATGCCCAGGTTGTGGGCCCCATCCCCAGTGGGGGGCATGCAGGAGGTGGCCAATCGATGTTCTCTCTCATCGATGTTTCTATCTCTCTCTTTCTCTCTCTAAAATCAATAAAGGAAAAAAAATTTTTTTAAAGATCTTTTCATCCAATGTTTTGATCACTTTGTCTGTGTGAATGACCCTCAAACTTACATCTTTAGCCTCATCTTTCCAGCAGCCAGTATGTCCTTGACCCTGTCCTTTGTGCCAGCACTGTGCTAGAGGCCAGTGACACTGTGGTGAGCCGAAAACATTGTCCCACCCTCAAGCAGCTCACAGTCTAGTTGGGGATTAAGAGGGAAGCAGATAATGACACAAACAATGAAATTACATCATTATAATCATTGTTAAGGAGAAGTATGGAATAGGAGACCAAACATTAAGAGAATGGCATCAGGTGGAGAGGAGTCATCTTTTCTTTTTTTTATTTATTTTTTCTTTATTGATTTTAGAGAGAGACGAAGTAAGAGGGAGAAAGAGACAGAAACATCCATGAGCGAGAACCTCGATTGGCCACCTCCTTCATGCCCCTTACTCAGGATCTGGCCCACAACCTGGGCATGTGCCCTGAGTGGGAATTGAACTGGCCACCCCTTGGTGCATGGGTCTATACTCAACCACTGAGCCACACTGGCCGGACCTGATCTTCATTTCATTCATTTAGTAACTCATTCTGCATTGCCTTGAGAAGTTACTTTCTATCAGTTTATTAAAATTGTTTCTCTCGCCCTGGCCGGTTTGGCTCAGCGGTTAGAGCGTCGGCCTGCGGTCCTGAGAGACCCGGGTTCAGTTCCCGCTAAGGGCGCGTACCTTGGTTGCAGTTTGTCCCCGGCCCTGGTCGGTTGTGTGGGTGGCAGCCACTCGATGTGTTCCTTTCACATCGATGTTTCTCTCTCTCTATCTGTTCTTCTCTCTCCCTCCCACTCTACCTGAACAAAAAATGGAAAAATGTCCTCGGGTGAGGATAAAAAAAAAAAAAAAAAAAAAATTGTTTCTCTCAGCCCTGGCCAGTTTGGCTCAGTGGTTAGAGTGTCAGCCCACAGACCAGAGAGTCCCAGGTTCAGTTCCTGCTAAGGGCTTGTACCTTGATTACAGTTTGTCTTTCTCACATCGATGTTTCTCTCTCTCTCTCTCTTCCCCCTCTCTCCCTCCCACTCTATCTGAAGATAAATGCAAAAATGTCCTCAGGTGAGGATAAAAATAAATAAATAAATAAAATTGTTTCTTTCAGTTAGCATTTATCTTTATACATATTTATGTGGTCCCCATGGCTAGATTACAAGTTTCTTCAGGCAGAGGCCACACCCAGTATGTCGTGTGATGGAACACCATGCTTTACATATCCTAAGTCAAATTTATTGATTAGTCAACTTTGAAAAATTTTTTAATATGATAAGGTTCATGCCCTGGCTGATTTTGCTCAGTGGTTAGAGCATTGGCCCGAGGAACAATGAGTCGCGGGTTCGATTCCAGTCAAGGAAACATGCCTCGGTTTTAGTTGGGTCCATGAGTCCTGGTCAGGTCATGTGGGAGGCAACCAGTTGATGTATCTCTCTCACATCGATGTTTCTCTCTCTCCCTCCCTCCTACTCTATCTGATGATAAATAGAAAAATATCCTTGGGTGAGGATTAAAAAAGAAAAAAGAAAAAAATAATAATAAGATTCATTCATTCACTTATTCATTTTTTTCAACAAGCATTTAGCAAGTGCGCTGGCTGTAACAAGTACCATGCTAGGTACAAGAGACACAAAGATGAAAAAGACAGAGGCCCTGCCCCAGAGGAGATTATAATTAGCTGGAGACAGAGACATAAATAAATAATCAAAATGCATATTACTAAGTGCTACAATAGGGACGTTTTCCAGGGGCTTTGTGGGGGAAAGACATATCTCTGCCTAACGGGAACCAGGGAGGTCTCACAAAAAAGATGATTCTGGACCTGAATCTCTAAATGATGAGTAGGAATTCAGCAGAGGAAGGAGCGGGGGTGGGGGGCAAGGACTCTCCCAGTACAATGACTGGCACACACAGGGGCACAGCAGCACAAGAATGAATGAGAACATCCACATATTCAGATGATCGTGTGAGCATGGGAGAGAAATAGAGGAGGCCAGGGAGGAAAGTAGGAGCCAGACCATGAGGCTTTTGCATACCTTTCTCTGCAGTTTGTAGAGCATGATGGACATGACACACTGGAAGTCCTGAAGGGTTTCAACGAGGGGGAGGACAAAATTGCAGTTATGTACTGGAAAGATCACTTTGGTGTTCCCAGGAAGGGTGCATGGGAGAGGATGGGTGTAGAGGCAGGAAAACCAGTTAGGGAGCTAGTGCAGTAACAGGAAAGAGGTGAAGAGGGCAGTGGTCATGGAGGTTGGGAAGAGGAGAGCCAGAGAGCTTGTCCAAGAGCAGAATCAACAAGCCTGGGAAACTGGGTGAGAGAGGAGGAGCTTTGAGACACCTGGCGTAGGTTACTGGTAAAGTCTCGCGGCTGTCTCTGAGAGAAAGGAGATGGAGCAGTGGGTTGAGGAGTAGAAGGTGATGCTGACATGTTAAGCTCAGGATGTGTATGGAGAAACCAGAACTGGTGGCCAGTTGGTGGTTGACCATGTGGATCTGGAGATGATACAGATAAGGCGCTAACTCCCTGTAGATGGTCATTGGTAGCGTAGAAGTGAGCAAGATCCCTCAAACAGACTGTTTTATTTCTATTTTTGGAGGGAAATTTATTGAACATGCCACATATGACCAAATCATAAAGGATTTTTTAAGAAAATTATTGAGCATGTAAGAACATCTTTATTTTCAGATAAAACTGTGAACTTGAGGTTGTCTTGAAATAAAAAAAAAAAACGTTTGTTGGGTGTTTCTATGTATAGAGTAACATACCAGATAAATGCATTTGTATGTAAGGACATCTTTGTGAAATTCTATAGTTTTACAGATTGTGACATTTTGATATAAAGGGGTGTTTTTCTTTCTTTCTTTTTTTTTTCTTTTTTTTTTTTTTTTATTGAATAATTTTTGTTACAAATGATTCTCCTTTTTTCCCCCAGTGGTTCCCCCCTCCCCCTTCCCTCCCCGCCCCTTCCCCCGATTGTTGTCCATGTCCACTGTTCATGCCTATATGCATATAAATTCTGT